CCCTGTGGGGTGTGTGGCAGTGCCGCTCCCCTCGCCCTCCAGCTGGGAGGCCTGTGTCACAGGCAGGCTCCCAGTGGGGGCTGGAACCCACAGTGGCCACCCTCTCATTCACTGCTCTGGCTTTGGACTATAGGGCGTGGGGTGGTGGGGGAGGAAGTCAGCTGTGCACCTGCAGTCCGTTCAACACGAATGTTTTTATGTTTTATATATATATATAAATAAATAATACATGCACATAGAACTTCAAAACGTAAAAAAAATCCACTTAGTTACGATGTAGAATCCTTCTTACGTTACTGGCTGCAGCTTGCTGGTATCTTAATGAGGATTTCTGGGTCAGTATTTGTAAGAGATACTGGTCTCTGGGGCCAGCGTTGTGGCATAGTGGGCAATGCTGCTGCCTGCAGCACCAGCATCCCATATGGGCGCCAATTCAAGTCCCGGCTGCTCCACTTCCGATCCAGCTCTCTGCTGTGGCCTGGGAAAGCAGCAGCAGATGGCCCAGGTCCTTGGGCCCCTGCACCTGCGTGGGAGACCCGGAAGAAGCTCCTGGCTCTTGATTTCAGATCAGCCCAGCTTCAGCCGTTGCAGCCATTTGGGAAGTCAACCAGCAGATGGGAGACCCCTCTCTCTCTCTCTCTCTCTCTCTGTCCCCCACCCCCGCCTCGCCTCTGCCTCTGCCTCTCTGTAACTGTGCCTTGAAAATAAATATTAAAAAAAAAAAAGATACTGGTCTCAGGCCCTGTGGGTTTCTTCTTTGCTGGTAGTGTTTATTTGGTTTTGCTATCATGATACTCCTTCCCTCCTGCTATTTAGTTAAGACACTCTCCTGTTCCGTGAAGTGTGTGAAAGGTTGGTGTTAGTTCTTCAAAGAGTTGGTAGATTTCACTGGTGAACCATCTGGCCCTGGGATTTGCTTTGCGGAAAACTTTTTTAATACTAAATCAACATCTTGTGATAGGTCTATTCCGATGTTCTATTTTTCTGTCCAATTCAGTGAGATTACCTAATTTGTTGGCATATCATTCTTAGTTCTGCCTCACAACCCTCTCACTTCAGTAAGTCAGTAGAGCTGTTCCCTCTTTCGCTCCTGATGTTAAAAATTTGTCTTCTCTTTTTCTCTTGGTCACTATAGCTAAGGATTGGTCAGTTTGTTGATCTTTCGATTTTGGTTTCTCTGTGAATCTGTTGCACTGATTTTCACCCTGCTCCAGTTAACCTCCCTCCTCCAGCTCAGTTTCAGTCTTTCTCCTCCTTTCAGGTTTCTGAAGGTGGAGACCTGGACTGCTGACTTGCAACCTTCTTTTTTATAGACATTTATAGTCATGAATTTCCTTCTACCCACTGCTTTTGCTGCACCACAAAAGTGTTTTCAATTTCCACGTTTTGAAGTCCCAAATTTCTTCTGTTAATGATTTTTAATTCATTTCCATTGTGAAGTGGTTTTCATTTAACTTTATTGAGGCTTTTATGACCTAGAATTATGTATTGCATTGTGAGCCCATAAAAGAGTAGTAAATTCCTACCCTCCCCTCCATACCTATGAATGGGACTGTTTTTGGTTATTCATTTTTTTTTTTCTGAGACAGCGTCTTTGCAGGTGATCCAGCTGGGGTTATTAGGGTGGGCCCTAATCTGACCAGTGTCCTTATAAAAGGAGGAAATGTGCAAACGGACACATCCAAAAGAAAGGCAACGTGCAGACACAGTGAGAGTGCCACCTACAGGCCAAGGATGTCCAAGGCCACCAGAAGCTAACAGACGAGACAGACTCCCTGCTGCAGCCCCAGGAAGGAACCTACTTTGACAACACTTCGACTTTTAGCCTCCAGAACTGTAATAAATTTCTGCTGTAAGCCACTTAGTGTGTGGTACTTTGTTATGGAAGCCCTGGAAAATCTGAGACAGAGACAAATAGCCAGGCCCCCCCTGCTGGTTGGCTCCCCAAAAGCCTAAAATGGCCAGGACTGGGCCAGAGCCAAAGCTGGGCACTGGAACCCAATGTGGGCTTCCCACATGGACAGCAGGAATCGGCAACTTCAGCCATCACCAGTGCCCCCCTAAGTCTGCACAGCAGGAAGCTGGAGTCCGAAGCTGGAGTCCGAAGCTGGAGCCAGGAACTGAATTCAAGTAACCCAAGATTAGAGGGAGGTGTCAGCTGCTAGGCTAAACATCTGCCCCTACCCCTAGCAAATTAACACAGCCAGGCTGTGGTCTGTCCTGGATGATGCTCCTTGTGCACTGGGGTAGAATGTGTACTCTTAATATTTCTGGGTGGAGTATTCTAGACGTGCTACATCTAGTTGGTTTATATTCTCCAAGTCTCCTATTTACTTGTTGATCTTCCACCCAGTTTTTCTACCCATTATTGAAAAGCAGGTACTGAAGTCTTCAACCATTGTTGTTGAGACGTCTGCTTCTTCCTTTGGTCCTATCAACTTTTGCTTCATGTACTCTGGGCGTCTCTTGTTCAGCGCTTATGTTCATACCGTAATCCTTTGGAGCAGGCACTGTGCCATACTGGGCTAAGCTGCCCCTTGGATGCCTGTGTCCCATATTAGAGTGCAGGTGCAAGTCCCAGCTTCTCCACTTCCCATCCAGCCTCCTGCTACTGTTCCTGCAAAGGCTGTGGATGATGTTCCAGGAACTCAGGTTCCTGCCACCACCCAGGAGACCGGGGTAGAGTTCCTAGCTCGTGTCTTCAGCCTGACCTGGCCCTGGCTATCGGGAGACTTTGGGAAGTGAACCGGTAGACAGTAGATCTGTTTGTCTCTCCCCCTCTCTGTCACTCTACCTTTCAAATAGATAGATTTTTTTTTTTAATGAGCTCTTGGTAAATAAAAGTATGACAGCAGAAAATAAATTTTCAGGAAATAAGTAGGAACCTGAAGTTGAGGACATTTCCCAGAAAGTGGAGCAAAAGAAATAATAAGATGAGGAGCAAGACATACAGTACAGAAAAATTAGGTTAAAAAAAGAAGAAAAATTAGAAAGTCACACAGCCAAATGTTTCAGAGAACAGTGAAGTGGAGGAAAGCAAATATTCCACAAAGTAAATGCCACGAACAAACTCCCCAACTGAAAACATGCATTTTAGAGATTGAGGGCCCACAGTGCACTCGGGAAGTGGATGCAGACCAACACCAACAACCTTGCGACAGAGGATGAAAAGACCCAAGCTTTCCGAGACAAAGAAGAAAATGGAAAAAGGCAGGAAGGCAGAAGACAGTCCTGCCGCAGGCCAGGACTGGGGCCAAGATGATGCTGGACTCACCAGAAGCATGAGAAGCCAAAGCCAGGGCTCCTGGAGCCAGCCTTCAAAACCAGAAAGTGATTCGCACACACGCTCAGCCAACCCTCCGAGCACCTCGGAGGCGGTGACAGACACTCAGACCCGGGAGGTCTTTAAACCGCACGCCCTTAACCTCTCCTCGTGGAGCTACTGGAGAAACGCCCCACCTCAGCCAGGGCATAAACCATGAAAAGGGATCCAGGAGGCAGGAAGCAAGATAGTCGGTAAGAAAAGCACAAAGAACACACAAGATAATGGTACAGGGAGACTGCAGGGCGACGCTCCCACCCAGAGAGCAGCTCGTGGGAATCCCCGTCGGAAGGAGGCGGCTCAGGGAGAGATTTCTTCAGTAATGAAACTGGTGATGAGACCAGCGTTGTGGCGTCCTGAGCAAAGCCAGCACCCGTGATGCCAGCATCATACATGGGCGCCGGTTTGAGTCCCGGCTGCTCCACTTCCGATCCAGTTCCCTGCTAATGGTCTGGGAATAGCAGCAGAAGACGGCACAAGTCCTTGGGCCCCTACCACCCCCACGGGAAACCTGGATGAAGCTCCTGGCTCCCGGCTTTGGCCTGGCCCAGTCCTGGCCGGGTGAAACATCTCTGTCTCTCCCCTTCTCTCCGTAGTCTTTCAAATAAATAAAACTATAAAATTTAAACTGTGCCACAACTGCACGTTAGACAAGTTAGAAGCAGGAGGCCAGCGTTTCGGCCTGAGCACCTGCATCCGGTCCCCAGACTGGCCCAAGCCAAAGTGGAGTCACTCGTGCTGAATGCCACATAACCACACTGGAATTCTGAAGAAGCAAACGGCTCTCCCCTCGCCCGTCCTCCCTGTAAACAGGGCCCGGTGCACCTGACTCGCCTGGGGTTGGGCAGTCACCTGCTCCCACCCGACTGGCCCCAAGGCTGCCGCTGCCCACTGGGAGGTGTTTTGTTACCAATGCTGATCTTAACTAAATCTGCTTTTTCTTTCGACACACAACTGGTGAACGACTCCAGATAGTTTGCGGTCAGTACAGGGACTCATGAGGGAAGCCAGGAAATTACCAATTCCATGGAAAATGAAAGTTCTGCAAAAAGGAAAACTAGTTAAGTCCCTACACGGGCCTCAGCCAATTCCGCGTGGGTGACCTGGGGCTGTCATTACTTAAACGTCACTATCTTCCAATCAGGAGACCGCACTTGAAAACCCAGAATCCTGCTTCTCAACCGTGAGGTCCGGGGCTCATCGCTGGGGCTGCCACGACCCGTCCGGGGTGGTCTGGTCGCCACGCAGCGACCCCAGACCCGCGGGGCCCAGCGCAGCGCCACACGGCCTCCACGCAGCTGGGCGGGCCGCCGACCGCGGACGCACCGAAGCACCCGCCTGCCTTCCGGGCTCTTCATCTTCTCCCCTCCCTAGCTCCGCTAAGCTCCCACGGCCCGACCCTCGCCACACCGCCGACCGCGCAGACTCCCCACGGCAAAGATGGCGGCGACGAGAAGGCGGCGGCGGGCGGGGCTTCCGGCCGGGCACCGCCCGGCGAGCCTCGCTTCCGGCGGCCTCCTGATGACGTAGGCGGGCGCGCCACGCCGCATGGGCCAGGGACGGCGCGGATGACGGATGGAGGTCAGCGGACGTGCGGCCGGAGTGGGTCTCGCACCACGGGAGAAGCGGCTGCGGAGCGTGACTCCTGAGGGCCCAAGGCGAGGCTGGGGAGCGGTTGCTGGGTCCTGGGGACGGGGCGCGGGGCCCCGGGCGGAAGGCGCGGTGTGGGCCGGGCCGGCCTCCAGCTCGGCCTGCCCGCCAGGGTGCACGCAGCTCCCGCGCTGGGCCACGAGGCCTGGCCCGCCCTGGAAGGCGCTGCCCCTGCTGACCTCTCGTGTCCCGAGCGAGCTCGTGTTTGCCTAAACCCGAGCCGGACTTCTGAACTCGATCTGCCCGGAGCTGGCTCCCGGGGGCACCTGTAAAACAGGAAATGTAGGCGTTGCTCTCGGCAAATCTTGCTCCTCGCCGAGCCTCGTTTTTTGCCTTTTTGTAAAGTTGAAGTCAGGTTTTAACCTCCCAGGAGCAGGCCTGGCAGGTAGAATCGCTAAAGGCAGCGTCACGGGGAATGTAACAGGTTCTCGGACGAGGTGGCAAGATGGCGTTCGGTCAGGACTTGGAGAGAGAAAGTGTATTTTGCAGGGCGCCGGGGCTCACGCCCTACAGAGGTGCGAGGCCTCATCCGACTGGGGAGGGAGAAGAGAGGAAACTGGGAAGATGATTCCGAGCCACGTTGTGGAGCGCTTTTAAAAAAAAAAAAAATAAGGATTATGATTTCTTTGAAAGGCCGAGTTAGAATCTTCCATCCGTTGGTTCACTCCCCAGATGATCGCAGTGGGTGGGCTCTGCGAGGGGTAAGCCAGGAGCCTGGACTCCACCCAGGTCTCCCACATGGGCGCAGGGGCCGTCCCGGGTGCGTTAGCGGGGAGCTCCACCGGAAGGGGGCAGGTGGCAGGTGGCGTCTTAGCCTGCTGCGCCACAAGCTGGCCGGGCGAGGTTGGGTTGGGCGGCTGTGCTCGTTGATGTCAGAGCGAGAAGTGAGTAGATTGAGATGTGATCCCGGGGCTGTGCCTGCTTCACCACAGCGCCGGCATCCCGTATCGGCTCTGGTCTGAGTCCCGGCTGCTCCACTTCTGATCCAGCTGCCTGCTAATGAGCCTGGGAAAGCAGCAGCAGATGGCCCAAGTCCTTGGGCCCCTGCACCCACATGGGGGACCGGGAGGCAGCTCCTGGCTCCAGCTCGGCCCAGCTCTGCCCCTTGCAGCCAGCAGGTGGAAGACGTTTCTCTCTCTCTGTGACTCTTGAACAACAACACAGAAAAGCTGTGACCACCGTGGTTTGGGCGGTTCACTCCGTGTTTGTGTTGTTGAGGTCTACACACGGAAGCTCCAGGAGCTGTGTGTCCTGGGCTCTCCGGGGTTCTGACTGACGGCGTGTCCTCTTGTCTGGGAGCCAGTGACCCTTAGTCCTGGTTACCATGGGCTACGTCAGTGCTTCTCGGGCGTCGGCAGACCCCCTGCAGGCCTCGGGCAGACCTGGGAGTCTGAGGCGCTGGCCCCCTCCTCGGTGGACTGGAAGCCCCCCCGCCGGCTGTGATGCTCTGCCCTTGGGTCTGTGCGCTCCATACCGAAACAGACGCCCTCGATTTTTGCTCCAGACGATACTGTCACGTACGATACTGTCACGTACGCGGGGCTAGTATCTGAGAAGGGCGGGGCGGGGGGTAAAGCTGACTTGCAGAGGACAGCTGTGCCTCCGTTTCCGTTGTGGTGACTCGGGACGGCCCTTTCTGCTTTCTCCCTCCAGGGCTCTGGAGTCGCTGTGGTAGAAATCTCCCCGCCAGGCCACCATGGCTGCCCGCCTGGTGAAGCGGTGCACGTGCCTCCTGAGAGAGGCCGCCCGCCTCGCCCCTGCCGCGGCCCCGGTGAGCCGGCTTCGCCTTGCCGGGGTGGCCCAGAAGGCCCTGACCTCCCCGGCCGCCTGCTTCAGCTCCCACTCCCCGGGTTCCTTGACGGAGCTGGTGGAGAAGGAGCAGGTGTTCACCCCCTACCCGGAGCACCCGGAGGTGGACCAGCTCATCGAGAAGGCCACCAGGCCGGGGCAGCTTCTGGAGCTGCTGGGTGGCGGTCACAGCCTGCACCACAACCACCCGGCCATCATGCTCATCCGAGTCGCTCGCCTGCTGGCCGAGAAGCCGGAGGACAAGGCCTCGCTGAGGCAGGACGCCCGCTTTCAGCAGCTCCTCCAGCTGGTCAGCAGCCAGGTGGGACTTCTCGGCTCGTCCTCACAGGCCCTCACCGGCCTCGGTGACAGCCGGCGAGCAGGGTGCACACGGGGGACCTGCGGCAGGTGAAGCCCGACTCCGCTCTCGGGCTGTAGTTGTGCCTGGCACTGGTGTGGTTGACGCTGGACGTTGCGGTGCCGGGTGGGAGGAGGGAGCAGTGGGAGCAGAGCGTCTGCGTGCGATCCTGTTTCCTGCTGAGACTAGGGTGGCGCCGGCTTGTCCGCTGTCACAGGTGGCAGGCGGGGGGCTGGGGACCCGTGCTGGGACGCCAGGCACATCTGTCTCCCAGGAGGCGGGGTGGGGCCCAGACACGCGCCCTGCATGGCAGCCTCGGCCTCTCCAGTAACCGAGTGGGCACAGGTTCCAGACCTGCGCGGCTCTAAAAGCTCTGGCACCGGGAGAGCAGCCCCGCCTTTGCTTCCTGCTAATGGATGCCGCCTGGGCTGCTGGCATCTCACAGGCCAGGCAAGGGGGCGGCCCCTGGAGAGACCCCGCTCGGAGGTGCTGCTGGCTTCCCTGCCCGAGAAGCCTCAGCGTCGGGCTGGGTCGGGGCTTTCCCGCACGCAGGGAGGGCACAGGCACCTGAGACTGAGCACCTCTGCAGGGCACCAGGCCTGGCAGAGCGGGGCGGGAGTGAACTGTCCTGAGGAGGGCTAGGAAATCCCAGCGACGCCTCCTGCCCTGCTGCAGGGCCAGGGGAGCCACCTGTGACGGGCCTCTGTCCTGCCCCGCGCAGATCAGCTCCGTGTGGCACGGGACCCTCGTGAGGCTGCTGCGGAGCCTGTATGCGCTGGAGCTGCCTGAGGCTTCCAAGGAGCTGCGGTCGGTGGAGCAGGAAGTGCGCTGGCGCATGCGGAGGCTCAGGTACAAGCACCTGGCCTTCCTGGCCGAGGCCTGCGCTGCCTCCACGCGGGAGCCGCACTCCCAGGAGCTGCTGGCCGAGCTGCTCGTGCACCTGGAGAGGCGCTGGACAGAGATCGACGATGGCCGCACGGCAGTGACCTTGATGATGAAGGCAGGGCACCTCTCAGAGTCGCTGATGAACCGCCTGGAAGACAAGGTACGGGGCTCACACGCCTGACACCCAGCCGTGCCCTGGGGGCTGTGCAGCTGTTCCCTGGGTGACAGTCCTGTGAGGCAGAGGGCTGCGGGTGGCCACTCTGTAACTGTGAATCCAGCACGGCGTGATCTCGAGAGGCAGCAGAGCAGACGTCCCAGCAGTGGCCCAGAGGCACTGGCCGGGCACAGGCCAGCCCTGGGCGGCCCCTGCAGTCAAGTCAAATTCAGCCCCGGCCTGTGGTGGTGTGGGCTGGCCAGGTGGCTGCCACAGTGAGCTCTGCAGTTCATGGGCCCCAGGTCCCCCACTCTGGGGCCTGGGGATAAGTTTGGCTGCGGACAGGGGTTCTGGGCCCAGGGCGGGCGGGAGGCTGGCCCTGCACAGCTGAGCCCATGCTGGGTCAGCTCAGGCCCAGTTGCTGTCTCACAGGGGCTGCACTGGATGGGACCCCTGCCCCCAGCTCGTCCCCGCTGCCTCTGGCCACCGGGCTGACCCCTGCACGGCTGTGGTTGACAGTGCCTGGAGCTGGTGGAGCAGTTTGGCCCCGAAGAGATGAGGAAGGTGCTGGTGACGCTGGCGGCACAGGGCCGGCGGTCGGTGCCCCTGCTGCGGGCCATCTCCTACCACCTGGTGCAGAAGCCCTTCCCGCTGACCAAGAGTGTGCTCCTGGACCTGACCTACGCCTACGGTGAGGCGCTGGCTGGCACGCACCTGCAGCCGTGTCAAATTCGGCACCTGCCTGCCGTGGCGGGCGCTGGCCCAGAAGGCTGCCACAGAAACATGCGGCTCATGGGCCCTGCCCCGCACTCGGGCTCAGGGATAAGTTTGGTCGCAGACACGGAGCCCTGGAGCTGAGGGCACGGGGGGTCTAAGCCCGTGCTCTGCTCTGTCCCGAAGGCAAGCTGAGCTTCCACCAGACCCAGGTGGCCCAGCGCCTGGCCACTGACCTGCTGCCACTCCTGCCCAGCCTGACCCCCGCCGAGGTGGCCCGCTGCGCCAAGTCCTTCGCCTTCCTCAAGTGGCTCAACCTGCCCCTGTTCGAGGCCTTTGTCCAGGTGAACTGAGAGCTGGCTCCGGGTTCCGTGGGGAGCCAGTGGACCGGGGAAGCCAAGCTGGTCAGGGAGGCTCACAGGGCTGCCAGTTGAGATGTTTCAGCTTGTGTGGGAGAGGCGCTTGCTGCTCAGTGGTGGACACGTGGCGCGGTCTTGTGTTCTCACTGAACGTCCTGCTTCCACGAGGCTGGGGCTGAGGGTCTGCTCAGAACCCTCCTGACCTGCCGCCCACCCCCGAATGGACTGTGTGGGGAGACGCCCACGTGTGCCTCTCCTGTCACTGCCCTCAACCACCTGTGCCTGCGGTTCAGGGGCACTCATGCAGGGGGCGGGGGGCAGCCCTGGCCACCCTCAGACTCCGAGCCAGGCAGGAGCAGTGCTGCTGGCTGGGAGCTCATCCTGTCCTCTGCCGCCCCTGACCGGCCCAGCACATCCTGAACAGAGCCCAGGACGTCACCCTGCCTCAACTGTGCAGCGTGCTGCTGGCTTTTGCCCGCCTGAACTTCCGTCCAGAGCGAGAGGAGGAGTTCTTCAGCCTGGTACGGCCCCTCGTCCCCCCAACCCCTTCCCATTGGCTGCCGCCTCAGGTGCTCCTCTCCCAGGAGCGCACGGGGTGGGGCCTCTCCTCACTGCAGGGGTTTCCCCGCCAGGTGCACGAGAGGCTGGGGCCGGCGCTGGCGAGCCTGGAGCCGGCTCTGCAGGTGGACCTGGTGTGGGCTCTGTGTGTGCTGCAGCAGGTGCGGGAGGCACAACTCCACGCTGTCCTCCGCCCTGGATTCCACAGCCCGCTTCTCGGTGAGCCGCAGGCTGCCCTGCTTACGTAGAGCCGGGGAAGGCCGTGGTGGGTTCCCAGCCGTGGCCCTGTTCCTGGAGTGCCTGTGAGCACAGGCCGTGGCTGCTGCCTCCTGACCTCAGGCGCTGGGCGGGGTGGTGGCCACTGCCTGCCCTCTGGGGCTTCCTGGCCTCAGCCCGCCTCCCTCCGCTGTGCTCCTCCCCAGGGGCCAGGTCTCCTAAGGACCAGAGCACCTTCCAGAAGCTGCTGCACATCAACGCCACGGCCCGCCTGGAGCACCCCGAGTATTCCGGCCCCCTGCTGCCGGCCCTGGCCGTGGCCCCCAGGCCCCCGGCCCCCGACCAGAAGGTGACCCCCTTGCAGAAGGAGCTGCAGGAGACGCTGAAGGGGCTGCTGGGGGGCGCCGACCGGGGCAGCTTCGAGGTGGCCACGCAGTACGGCTGGGTGCTGGGTGAGCACACCCCCAGCTCCCCGGGGCCTGAGTCTGAATTAGACTCGTCTAGTGCTGCCCTCGTGGTAGGACCCATCCAGACCCTGGGGTTCCTGTCCATCCTTCCTGGGATGGGGGAGGGGACGGGGCAGCTCAGGGACCTGCCACGTGCGCTCACACGCGTGCCTCCCCAGACGCAGAGGTGCTGCTGGACGCCGACGGTCAGTTCCTGCCTCTGAGGGACTTTGTGGCACCTCACCTTGCCCAGCCGGCTGGGGGCCAGCCGCTGCCCCTGGGAGCTAAGAGGTGGGTGGCCAGATCCCCCCGGTTGCCGCCCTGGTGAAAGCCACGGGGCCCAGCAGCTCTTGACCCAGGCCGCAGGTGGCTCTCTTGTCTCTGCTGTCTCTCCCTCCTCCCAGGACGGGAGAGGGAGCACTCATCAGACTCCCACTCCCTCTTCCCGCCAGGCTCGCCTTCCTGAGGTGGGAGTTCCCCAGCTACAACAGCCGCAGCAAGGACCTGCTGGGCCGCTTTGTCCTGGCCCGGCGCCACCTGCTGGCCGCAGGCTTCCTGGTGGTGGATGTGAGTGTCTGCTGGGTGGTGGTCACTGCCCAAGGGAAGTCCTCAGCCTAGAACCAGAGTGGGGACGGTGCCTGGCCTGGGCCCTGAGCTGCCCTGGGCCCCACTCCACCTGCCCCGTGGTCAGGCCTCTTCCTGGGGAGGGGCAGGCCAGCAAGACCCAGGCCGCCGCTGACTGACCAGGAGCAGAAAGGTGGGCCTGGCCTGGCGCTGAGCCCTCACCTGCCAGACTGCCAGCTCCGTGGGCTGCACACATCTCCTGGGACGTTCTTTGGCCTGTGATTCCTGTTCACCCTTTAAAATCCAGAAGCTTCCTTGGGCCTGGTGGTTTGCAGACCCGTCTGGCACTAACAGCCAGAGCCTCCCCACGCATTGGCTGCAGTGCCAGGGCGGTCCCTGAGGACAAGGGGTTCAAGAGGCAGGTGTGCAGAGCCAGGGGTCACCCAGGAGGCCCCCACCACATGACCTGTCGTCCCCTGCAGGTCCCCTACTACGAGTGGCTGGAACTCAAGTCTGAATGGCAGAAGGGCGCCTACCTCAAGGACAAGATGCGCAAAGTGGTGGCCGAGGAGCTGGCCAAGTGATGCGTGGCGCCGGTGTGCACGGCACACCCAGGCCTGGCTCTGGACCCCTGGTGGGCAGGAGGTGGCATCTGAGCGCTGGGCCTGCTCCGAGTGAGAGTTGCCCAGCAGCTCAGGGACTTGCGGTTCCCTCGTGGGCAATAAATTAAAGAATTCATTGTCACTCAGGAGGCTCCCGGGCTTTGTCACCTCACCTGTCACCTGTCTGCTTTGGGGGCGGGGAATGGCTTGTGAGCACCCCAGCGGCAGCTGGAAGGCAGCTCCTGACTGCTCAGTGCCCGAGGGGCCCCTTCCCGGCGTGTGTTCTGCACCCACACAAGCCAGCCAGTGCCCGGGCTTCTGCAGTTGGTCCCCACAGACGGGGAGCCCTGGGATCCGGATCCAGGGCTGGTTACGAGCTGTGGTCCCCTGGGAGGCCCTGCAGAAAAGCCCGTTGCTGACTCCATGGGACTGGAGGCGAAAGCCATGCGGAGTGGCCCAACCAGAGCCTTGTGCTGCCGTCACAGGACTCTGCCCCAGCAGGGACAGCTGTCCTTTCCGCCCGGTCTCCCCCAGGAACTAGAGTGGGGCTGAGAGCAGAGGAGGCTGATGCCCGAGGCCGACGCCCAGGCCTTAGAGCTTTGCCTTCACCTCTGAGCTCTGGCCCCTCACGGGCCGCTCACCGGCCCGGCCGTGTTGGGGAGAACAGCTGAGCTGATCTTGTGGGGGAGGCGGGGAGAGCATTCCAGAGCAGGGGACGAGCGCCAGGGCCAGGCGGTGGCCGGGTTCTTGGTGGGCGTGTCCTAGAGCCAGCCAGGGAGGTCCTGTGTGTGTGTGGCTATGACAAAATAAAAGTGTTTACCACTCCAGGCGGTGGCTTTAATTCTGAGGTACTTACAGGTCCCCTGTCATTGGAGGAAGCACTGCCTCATTTCCCGGCAGCTCCCGTGTGCACTGGGTGGGGTCGGGCTGGAGCACAGTGGCGCTGCCATGGTGGCTGTAGGTGCCACGTCTGCCGGCCTGTGGCCCTTGACCTCAGGGCTTCCGAGATGGGAATCCTGGGGTGGTCTGTCCAGGACAGGAGGGATGCTGTCCCCCACCCTGCCACCGACCCTTGAAAGCCGCTGGCTGGTTTCTAAGTGTTGCCTATTGGTAAAGTGGCCGCAGCATTTGTGTCCAGGTTTCCCTGTAAGTTGGCATGTCGGTCAGGTGGGGTTGATGGGGTTTCTGTAGAAGCTGCCAGGCTGTTCTGGTGGCTGCACATCACCCCCAGCAGTGCACGAGCCGGGCACCCACCCTCCCAGAGTCAGGTCTCCGGGAGTCACTGGTTTCTCTTGATTTGAATGACAGACACCGATCTTCATCTCTGGCTCACTTCCCAAATGCCTGTAACAGCCAGGGCTGGGCCAGGCTGAAGCCAGGAGCCAGTTCAGTCCACATCTCCCGCGTGGGTGGCGGAGACCCGAGTGTGTGAGTCCTCACCCGCTGCCTCTCGGGATGGCCTTGGCTGGAAATGGGAGCACGGCTGGGCCCCACCCCAGGGCCTCCGCACAGGTGTGGCGTCCCGCTCAGCGTCTCAGCCGCAGCTGGGCCCCCTGACCTAGGGGTGTGTGAGGCGGCTGGGTCATGGCTTTCCCTTGCAGGTCCCTGAAGACCCACCTTTCCCTCTCCGATACAGGGCTAAGGAGCTTGCCTTGGTGACCTGCCTGTCTTTCTGCCTGTGTTGTGATTGGGCTGTTTGTTTTTGTGAGATTGTCCCCTCATCACCCAAGGTCTTCCGAAGGGCAGAAGTTTTGCTTTGCTGGAGCCCAGGTGTGGTTTTCCCTCTGCGGTTTATGCTTTCCGAGCCGAGCCTCGCGTTTCTGCTGGTGTTTTCCTTGGGCGTGTTAGCAGGTGTACGTTAAGTCCATGATCCACGTGGAGGATAGCGTTAGGACTTCTGCAAATGGAGGGAGGTTTTTGGGGGGTGGGGCGTGATTTCTGTGGGACGCGAGGCCTGGGCTTGTTCCCGTCTCCCGATCCGCACGCTGGAGAGGCCGCCCCTGCCCAGGGACGTGAGTTGCGCTCCTCCAGAAAGTGTCGGGCGCACTTGCAGGTCTGTGCCATTGATCAAAGCCACTGTCCCCTCCCAGCGTCACACTTGCTTCAGAACGGTAGCCATGAGGTGGGCCTTAGGGGTCCTACTCCCTTCTGCAAGGAGGGTGGAGCCATTCTGGTTCTTTGCCCTTTCGTGTACATTTTTAAATGACTTGTCCATAAGAAAAGCATGGCTGGAATTTTATGTATTTTTATGAGAAAGGCAAGATCTGTCATCTGCTGTTTCACTCCTCAAATGCCTGCTGCAGATGGGCCGGGCCAGGCCGGAGCCGGAGCCGGAGCCCTGGAACTGCAGATGGGCCGGGCCAGGCCGGAGCCGGAGCCGGAGCCCTGGAACTCCACCCAGGTCCCTGGCGTGGGCAGCGAGGGCTCGAGGGCTTGAGCCGCCGCCTGCTGCCTCCCAGGTGCACTTCAGCAGGATGCAGGTGTCCCGAGGCCACACGCCTGCCCCCTGCTGGGGTTTAACCCTACAGATGGGTTTGGGAAGTCGCGACTCCTCTGCCGCGCTGACCCCCGCCCCCCGTCCCTGGGTCCAGCACGCAGCCTCTGCATTGCTATCTGGGTCTCTGATTTCATCAATGTCTTGTGGTCTGCATTTTGTAGGCTTGTACCTACGACATCCACATCTCTTGGGGTGATGGTAAATGGTGGTGTTCTTATTCTGGACCACACCTGTTTGTCATTAGTACATGGGGTTGATTTTTATCCACTATCAGTTTTATGCACTTTTAAAATTCTGTTGGATTTCCTATGAAGACAGTCATTTCCTCTGCAAATAGGGATAGTTTTTCTTTCTTTCTTTTCAGTCCATATGCCTTTTTAAAAAAATAAGTTTTAAATACAATTCATGAGCCATACATGTCACCCATTTAAAATATGTAACCACGTGGTTGTTTGTGGTTTTTTAAAGATTTATTATTTATTTGAACAGCAGAGTTAGACAGGCAGAGAGAGACAGGTCTTCCATTTGCTGGTTCACTTCCCAAATGGACACAATGGCTAGAGCTGGGCCAATCTGAAGCCAGGAGCCAGGAGCTTCTTACGGGTCTCTCACATGGGTGCAGGGGCCCAAGCGCTTGGGTTGTCTTCTGCTTTCCCAGGCCATCACAGAGAGCTGGACTGGAAGTGGAGCAGCCGGGACTCAAACTGGCGCCCGTATGGGATGACGACAGTGCAGGTGGTGGCCCCAACCCAGGGGATTTTAGTCTCGAGTTATATGCAGCCATCACCACTATCGGTTTCTCAGCTCGTTGATCACCTCCCTACCTGCTCTCCCCTGCCACACACAGCCACTGGTCTGTGTATTTCCCTCCTCGGAACTGGGTCCCACCGGGACCACACAGGCTCTGCTTTCTGTGGCTTCTTCGGCTGTGGCAGGTATCAGTACTCCGTCCTTTTATGAGTGAATAATTTATTACATACTTTGAAGAAAACATTTGTTTATTTGAAAGCCAGAGTGACACAGACAGAGATGCAGACAGAAATCTTCCATTCCTTGGTTCACTCCCCAAGTGGCTGCAACAGCCAGGGCTGAGCCAGGCCACAGCAGAGCCCGGAGCTCCACCGGGACCCCACAAGGCTGGCAGAAGCCCAAGTACTGGGGCCGCCTTCTGCTGCCTTCCCGGGAGCATGAGCAGGGAGCTGGGCTGGAGACGGCTCTTAGAGGACGTGCTCAGCCCTGGAGAAGCTGCCGGTCTGTCCACCTCTGGCTTCTCCACGTCCACCACACGGGAGTCTGCCGGTCAGACCCTGACTGGCTTGAAGTGGGAGCTCACGGGTTTGCTTGCATTTTCCTGATAACTGATGACACTGAGCATCTCTTCATGAGCTGGACGTTTGCATGTATTCTTGGAGAAATATTAAGCAGATTTGCCATCTTAAGTAGTTTGTCTTCCTTACTGAGCTATAAGGACTCTGTGTGTTCTAGGTGTGAGTCTCTCATCAAATATCTGACAGCCAGGCAGTGTCTCCCACTCTGGGTATGTTCTTGTTCATTTTATCTAGTAATTTGAGAGGTAAGGAGACAGGGCTGCCATCTGCTGGTTCATTCCCCAGATACCCACAACAGCCCAGACTGGGCCAGGCCAAAATCAGGAGCCAGGAACTCAATCCAGGCCTCCTCTGTCGGCGGTAAGGCCCCAACCACTTGAGCCATCACCTGCTCGCCAGGGTATACATGAACTGGGCATCCCAAACTGTGGCTTAAGCACTATGCCAGACACCGCCAAACTCATATTTCTAAGTCCCATTTGCCCATGAACTTTTTTTTTTTTTAAGATTTTTATCTATTTGAGAGGTAGAGTTACAGACAGGGAGAGACAGAAAGGTCTTCCATCTGTCCACTGGGTCACTCCCCAAATGGCCACAACGGCCAGACCTGGACTTGTCCGAAGTCAGGAGCTTCTTCCTAGTCTCTCATACAGGTGCAGGGGCCCAAGTGCTTGGACCACCCACTGCTCTCTCAGGCCATAGCAGAGAGCTGCATTGCAAGAGGAGCAGCTGGGACTCGAACTGGCACCCATATGGGATGCCGGCACCTCAGGTGGAGCATTAACCTGCTGCGCCACAGTCCAGCCCCTTAAAGGATATTTATTTTGAGAGGAAGAGACCGAGCTTTCATCTGCTAGTTCACTCCCCACGTGGCCACAGTGGCCAGGGCTGGGCCAGACCAAAGCCAGGAGCTTCTTCTGGGTCTCCCACATGGGTGCAGGGGCCTGAGGACTTGAGCCATCTTCCACTGCTTTCCCAGGCACGTGAGCAGGGAGTGGATCAGTAGTGGAGCAGCCAGGACTCAAACCCATGCCCATATGGAATGCCGGTGCCGCAGGTGAAGGCTTGTTAACCTGTGCCACGGCGTCGGCCTCTCCACGTTGGCGCTTTATCTCGGCCGTTGTGAACGGTGCTGCAATAGATGTGAGAGCCGATGTCTCTTTTCCTTTGGAGACACACCCAGGTGTGGGACTGCCGGGTCGTACGGCTCCGTGCTGCTCTCCACATAACCGTTCCCATTTACAGTTAGGGTCCCCCCGCCCCACGTCCTCGCCAGCATTGGCTCTGTTGTGTGTGTGGTAGCGCCTCCTGGGGTGAGGCGATCCCGCGTTGTGGTCTTGATTTGCATTTCCCTGATGGATGGGACCGTCTGACCATTCTTAATTGGCCTATTTTTTATTTGTATTATTTGTTACTGCATTCTGGACAGTAAGCCCTGAATAGGTAAGCAGTTGGAGGTGCGTCCTCCCCATCTGAGGGCTGTCTGCCCCCTGCTGCACTTGATGAGTCACGGCTCCTCCCAAACAGATGCGTCTGCATTGGCTGCTTGTCCTGTGGACCAGTGCCAGCGGCTTCATGGTTTTGAAAATCTTTTCTCCGGTTTCAGTGAGCTCTTCAGTCCTTGGTTCTGGAAGCCACTCTGCCTTCTCTTCCTCTCTCTTCCCCTGCAGGGGCCACAAACCCGATGAGACTGGCGAGGGCGACACTCTGGCCTCCCTGCTGGCCTCTCACCACGCATGGGTGAAGTGCTGTGGCTGACCTTCAGCAACCCAACTGGCTAAAAACTTAAAATTGTATGAGATGCCAGGACCAGGCAGTGGCCACAACACTGGCCCCACTGCTGGCTTTAGATCCACTCCCAGACTGCTTTTCTGTCTAGAAATTCCGTCAGTGTTGAGAGGAGTGGAAGTCTTCAGCTAAAAATGTTGATTTGCCTGTTTCCCTGTTCAGTTCGGTTCACTTTGTGTATTCTGAGGCTGTGTCTGGTGCCCGCAGATTTAGGATTGCTTGTTCTAGTGGTTGATTCCTTACAGAAAGTCCCTCTATCACAACAGTCCTCTGGGCTCTAACGCCTGCTTTCTCACGTGCAGTGGAACCATTCCTGCTTCAGTGTCAGGTTTGCTGGTTTTCTCTCTTTCTGGTTGACCGATGTTTGCAGTGTTCATGTGGTATATCTTCTGCTGTTGTTTTACTTCCAACATACCTATGTTACTCGATTTTTAAAACGTATTTATTTATTTGAAAGAGTTACAGAGAAGGGGGAAGAGAGAGATCACCCATCCACTGGTTTCTCCCGACAGCCGCAATGGCAGGGGCTGGGAACTCCCTATAGGCCTATGTGGGTGCAGGGCCCAAGTACCCAGGCCTTCTGCTGCTGCTCCCCCAGGCGCGTGAGCAGGTAGCTGGATTGGAGTAGAGCAGCTGAGGCTGGCACCAGCTCAGGTGGGATGCAGGTGTCACAGGTGGGGCGTAACCCACGGAGGCACAGCACTGGCCCCTGCACTGAGTCTGTTGTGAGCAGCATAATTTAACCCTTTCTCCACTCTGCCAGTCTCTGCCTTCTGTTTGCGCGACCTGGTTATACTGACAAATGTTAAGGGTTAAGTCTGCCACGTTGTATCTTTGGTTTCTGCTCCTTTGTTTGTCTCTTCTTGCTTTCCCGTGGACTACTGCTGCTCCGTCTCCACAGCGGATTTGGGTGTGTCACCGTGCACTTTTCCGAAAGGTCCCTCTCGGTATGGAAAAGACAGCCGAGTTTGCTGTGGTCTACACTCGTGTCTGGTCACTCGGAGGGAGGTGTGCAAACTACTCCATTCCAGTCCCTTTCTCGCTCCTGCTTTCAAATTTGTCCAGTGTCAAAAGCAGGGGAAGATGGCCCAAGTGCTTGGGCCCTGCACCCGCGTGGGAGACCCGGAAGAAGCTCCTGGCTCCTGGCTTCGGATCAGCGCAGCTCCAGCCGTTGCGGCCATTTGGGGAGTGAGCCAGCAGATGGAAGACTCTTTCTCTCTCTCTTTTTTTCTCTCTCTCTCCTCTCTGTAACTCTCTCTCTCAAAGAAATAAATCTCTTAAAAGCGATTAAATTTACTTTTTAAAAAATGGAAAAATAAATTTTGTCCAGTAGCAAGCGGTGTTACAATTTTTTTTGTTTTGGTTTTGGTACCGGCACTGTGGCACAGCAGGTTAAGCGGCACCAGCATCCTGTATGGGCGCCGGTTCAAGTCCCAGCTGCTCCACTTCCAATCCAGCTCCCTGCTAACGGGCTTGGGAGAGCAGCAGAGGGTGGGCCAACTGCTTGGGCCCCTGCAATCCATGTGGGAGTTCCAGAAGAAGCTCCTGGCTCCTGTTGCAGCCATCTGGGGAATGAACCAGTGGATAGAAGATCTCTCTCACTGTGTCGGTCTCTGTAATTCTTTCAATAAGTAAATCTTAAAACAAGACACAGTTTCTGTTTTGCCCATCAGGTATGTGTTAGGAGACACACAAGGAGAAGGAGTACCGGAGTTCCCCCATACCTCTGGCTCTTGCGCTGTTCTCTCTATCTCGTGCCCACGGGTCCTCGCTGTCTGAGGAACTTCTCCCAGCCACTCTGCCAGGCAGAGCTGCAGGTGCCAGTCCAGTTTCCCTTCCTCTGAGGATGTCTCCGCCACTGAATGCTGGCCCCTTGCTGTGGGACCCCCTTGCATGCCCCACTTCCAGGAGCCTCTGGGTCGGTGGGGGGAGCCTCAGGCCCAGGGGAAGGCAGACCCCTTGCCAGATGTGCCCAGCTTGGTGCTGCTGTCAGCGGGGCCCCCACTCCAAATGGGGCAAGAAGACTCCGGACTGCCTCTGGTGGGGAGGCTAAGGGTCAGGAGGCTCTGGGGCTGGGTCTCCCACTGGGTGGGTGGTCCATCCCCGTCCCTCTGTCCGAGTTCTGTCTTGGTCTTCTGGGTTGTGTCTGAGTTAGCCCCGAGGAGCAGAGATGCTTGTCCAGACAGGAAGCCCCTCGCCCCGCGGTCCCGCTGCCGATTCCTGAAAGCGCGAGGTGACGGTGGTGGAGCACTTGGGAGGCCAAGATGCGGATCCTTAAGGGGGAGACCAAGAGGAGGCGCGCACCCGGGCGGGAGGATGCTGGGCTGGGCTGGGCGCCCCGGGGTATGGCAGGCCTGCCAGCAGCCAGGTGTGCGGTGCCGAGCCTCGCGAGGTCCGGGGGCTGCGTGGGAGGGCGGCCGCTGGCAGCAGCAGCCCTGCCTGCGACAATGGCTGCTCTGACTCCTCACCCCAGCTCAGGGTGCTGACAATGCCTCGTTCATCGCTGGCCGGTGCCTGGCACGGCGAGAGGGGGCGCGCGTTCAGCAAGGCGGGCGCCATCCTTGGAGCCGTGGCCCGCACGGAAGGAGGCGGACCGGCGAGCTCAGGCACGGGGCTGCGGGGAAACTGGGGACCCGGGGGCCTGGCCCAGGAGCTCGGCCCGGGCTGCCTTCCCCGCGGCGCACTCTCGGGCTCCGACTCCGGTTGCCACGGAGACAGGAGGCGGTTGCCACGGCGACCGACGACTGAGAGGACCAGCCAATCCCTCCCAGCCGCGGCTGCCGCTCCCCGCGGGATGGAGGCATCGCGCGGGGCGGGGCCGCCCTGCCGGGCCCCCGCACCGGGCTCCAGACAACTCCCCGCGTCTTCCCGGCTCGGGGTGATGCCACTCTGGGGGTGCCCAGCCTCCGCGTGGCCCCGAGCCCCTGCCTGGTAAAGGGGAGGATGCTGCGGGAAAGGCCAGGCCAGGCGCAGGTGCCCCCGCCCCTCGGACCCGCGCTCTGCAGTGCCGGGCGCGCGCCCGCGCGGGAGGGGGGCGGCGGGCGGGGCGGCGCCGACGTCATCCGCTCCCCACACCCGGCCGAGGGGCGGTGGCCGCGCAGCCTCCGCCGGGCGGCGGCACAGACGGACGGACCGAGGGACAGAGGCATCGAGGGACCGGCGGGCAGACGGCCAGGCCATGCCAGGGGAGGCTGCGCGAGCCGAGCTGCTGCTGCCCGAGGCCGGCGGGCCCGGGCCCCGCACAGGTGAGGCCGCACCCGCACCCCTTCCCCGCGCTCTCCTTTCTCCGCCGCCGCGCCCCCTCTGCCCTGTCCGCGGCCCGCCCCCCCTCCCGCGACCCCTGTTCCCCAAGCCCAGGACTTCGGGGACGGGCGCGGGGCAGGGAGTGCCCCACCCCGGGAGCCAGAAGCGACGCGGGGGCCCACCCTGGGCCTGTCACCGGGCTTTCAGGGCTCCGTGCGCCCTGGCGCGTCCCGCCTGCGGGGCCGCGCCTCATTGTCTGCGGAGCCGCGGTCGGCGGGGCTGGGCAGCTCTGGACCCAGGCAGGCTGCGATTCCGGAGTTGGGGGTGGGAGAGTGGGCAGCAGTCTGGAAGGCCTAGGGGGCGCCCACCCGTAGGGCCCTCAACTTCAGCCCAGGGCCGCACTTGCTGGGGTTCAGGAGGAGTGGGGATGGCTGGGCCTGGGCAGCCCGGGAGGGAAGCCCTGGGGGCGGAGCCCCAGCGTCCTTGGCGAAGCCCTGGACGCAGCTGGCCCGGATGGCCCCTGCTGGAGGTCTGCCGTGTGCGGCTGGGGCAGAGCCAAGGGCACCTTGCTGTCGAGAGGAGTCACCTGGGGAGGGGCCCAGGCTGCGTCCAGGGCTGGCCTGGGTGACACAGGCTGCTGCTTCTGCCCTGGGTGGGAGCCGTGCAGGCCAGGACTCCCTGGACCCAGGCCCTGTGCCGGCTCTGCTCTCACTTGCTTGGTGACCTTGAATGAGTTGCAGAAAACCTTTGGCCTTTGGATTCTGACCTTGGCCTAGAGCTGCCCTCAGCCTTCCCTGGGAGCCCTGAGCCCAGCCTTGGGGCATCTAGTGACACACCCAGCCACACCCACTCCCAGTGTCAGGTAGCAGAGACGAGTGCCCAGCAGTGCCACCCTCAGGTGACCAGTCCTAGCTGGTGGCCGAGGGCCCACGACCCTGACTCTGCAGAGGGCAGCCGGGCAGCCTGCCAAGGGGCCCTGTCCGCAGCTCCGCGCGTGGTCCTAGCTGAGCTCTGCCCTGTGGTCCCCGGCCCCCCCACAACGGAACGTGGATGAGCACTTGCCCCCACCCTGGGCTTGCCCCCCACCCCGACTGGGCCAGCATTGGGCTGGCGCTGAGGCGAGGAGGGCATCCAGCAGAGGCTTCCGACGGGGCTGTCCTTGGCCTCGGTCCAGGCGAGGGAGGGGATGTCGGGGCCATCAGGACTGAGATGCGTCCGCAGCTCCCGAGTTAAGTCAGGGCGGAAACAGCAAGATCCGCGGCAGAAAGTGCGCCTCAGTCTAGCGCTGATGAAGTGATACAGCAAGAGGGCAGGAGGCTGGAGACCATACAGCGAGGGGCGGGGGAGGCCACCAGAGGGGTCTCCTCACAGCCCAAGGCCCTGCCGGACAGGCACTGCGACGGCTGCGGGTCGAAGGCGTTCCAGACACCTGTGACCTGCTCACCAGGGAGCCTGGGGACAGAGGGGCACCGTGGGACCCAGAGAAAGGCCAGGAGGCAGGCCGTATCTACCGTGGGGTGGCCGCCACCTTGGAGAGGCCTCACTAGAGGCTCAGCTGGGCCTGCACGCCTGCTGGGTTCACAGTCACCGGCACGGCCCACCGCTGCCCGTCGGGCCGGATGCTCCGACTCAGCCTCTCATCCGGCTATTGCGGGGCTCTGCGGGGACGCTGGCTGCCCCTTGTCCTGCGCCGCTGGAGAGGGGACAAGGTCAGAGGTGGGGCCCAGGTGAGACCCCGGCGGGGGGAGAGGAGAGAGATGAGCCAGGCCGGGAATGTGCCCAGCTGCCAGCACGCAGGCCCCTGCCCCTGTCACAGGACTGGCACTGCCCAGCGGGCCCTGCCCACTGCCGGTGAGGCCCAGCTGACCAGGTGGAGGTAGCAGGGACGGGTGCTGGTTGATCTCGGCTGAATGTCCCCAGGAGCCTTCTTCGTGACCCGCAGCGACAGCCCCATGCTCCACAAGGCTGCGTCAGCTGCTCCCTGCGGACAGGACTCCCGGGAAGCCGTCCAGGGCAGCCCACCCCGCCTTCCTCGGGACACGGTCCAGCGGCAGCCCGGCCCCACCCTGCCCTGGAGCCACGTCCCGGGGCGCCTCACGTCTTCTCTGTCTCCACAGATCTCTCCTGTGATGCGGTGGCCGCCACCATCCCGGGAGGGGACCTGCAGCAGCCCCAGGCCCTGACGCCAGGTTCCAGTCCCCTGGCCCTCTCGTTCCTGCCCAGCAAGCCGGGCGCCCGGCCCCAGCCCGAGGGCGCCAGCTGGGATGCAGGGCCTGGCGGGGCCTCCTCGGCCTGGGCAGACGCAGCAGAAGGCGGCCCGAGCCCCACCCTCCTCCCCGAGGGCCCGCCGTCCCAGGCTCTGTCCCCAGAGGCGCTGCCCTCGAGCCTGGAGCCCCGGATCGTGATGGGCGAGGAAACGTGCCAGGCCCCCGCCTCGCCTTGGGCAGCCGGGCCCGCGCTCAGGGACCGGGAAGGTGGGCGTGCCGGCCTGCACCCACCCCCCGAGCCGTGTTCTCAGGGTGACCCTCCTGTGCCTTCCCCTCCCCCAGACCCTGATTCCTTCTTCACACCTCCCTCCACCCCCACCAAGACCACCTACTCCCTGCTCCCCAGCCATGGGGACAGCTGGGACCCCGAGCCCGAGCTGGACTCGCCACCCGCCTCGCCCTCGGGCTCCTACATCACGGCCGATGGGGACAGCTGGGCCTCGTCGCCATCCTGTTCCCTCAGCCTGCTGGCGCTGGCCGAAGGGCTGGACTTCCCCTCCAGCTGGGGCCTCTCCCCGCCAGGGTCCGTGGTGGACGAGGGCGAGCGGAGCCCGCCCAGGCCGCCGGGAGCCCCGTCCACAGAGTCCAGTCTCTCTGCAGACAGCAGCTCCTCCTGGGGCCAGGAGGGCCACTTCTTCGACCTGGACTTCCTGGCCAATGACCCCATGATCCCCGCGGCCCTCCTGCCCTTCCAGGGCAGCCTCATCTTCCAGGTGGAGGCCATGGAGGTGACACCGCTGCACCCGGAGGAGGAGGAGGAGGAGGAGGTGGAGGAGGAAGAGGAGGCGGTGGGAGCAGCTCCGGCCCCGGGCAGGGACCTGGCCGGGGAGGGCGAAGACGACAGCACCTCCACCTCCTTCCTGCAGTCGCTGTCCGACCTGTCCATCACAGAGGGCATGGACGAGGCCTTTGCCTTCCGGGACGACACCTCGGCCGCCTCATCTGACAGCGACTCGGCCTCCTACGCAGGGGCCGACGACGAGAGGCTGTACAGCGGGGAGCCCCACGCCCAGCCCAGCGCCCCATTCCTGGAGGGCACCCAGAAGGCAGAGCAGGAATGCAGGGCGGCCGCTGAGCAGCCGCGCGGTCCAGAAGGGCCCGAGTCCTGCGGCCTGGAGGCCGCCGGGGCCACACCCACCCCTCGGGTCTCAGAGCGAGAGGCCTGTCTCACCCAGAGCCAAGACCGGATGGAAACAGCAGGAGAGAAGCACGCTCCAGGCCAGGAGGCCACAGCCTCCAAGACCCCTCCTGCCCTGCAGGCAGCCCCAGGCCCCCAGCTGACCCCTGAGGCCGAGGAGGAAGAAGAGGAGGACTCCACAGCTGGGGGAGCACCATCCCAGGCAGCCCCAGGCCCCCATATAACCCCTGAGGCTGAAGAAGAGGAGGAAGACTCCACAGCTGGGGGAGCACCATCCCAGGCAGCCCCAGGCCCCCATATAACCCCTGAGGCTAAGGAGGAAGAAGAGGAGGACTCCACAGCTGGGGGAGCACCATCCCAGGCAGCCCCAGGCCCCCATATAACCCCTGAGGCTGAAGAAGAGAAGGAAGACTCCTCAGCTGGGGGAGCACCATCCCCTGCAGCCCCGGGCCCCCAGCTGACCCCTGAGGCTGAAGAAGAGGACGAGGATGATGACTCCACAGCTGGGGGAGCACCATCCCAGGCAGCCACAGGCCCCCATATAACCCCTGAGGCTAAGGAAGAAGAGGAGGACTCCACAGCTGGGGGAGCACCATCCCAGGCAGCCCCAGGCACCCAGCTGACCCCTGAGGCCGAGGAGGAAGAAGAGGAGGACTCCACAGCTGGGGGAGCACCATCCCAGGCAGCCCCAGGCCCCCAGCTGACCCCTGAGGCCGAGGAGGAAGAAGAGGAGGACTCCACAGCTGGGGGAGCACCATCCCAGGCAGCCCCAGGCCCCCATCTAACCCCTGAGGCTGAAGAAGAGAAGGAAGACTCCACAGCTGGGGGAGCACCATCCCAGGCAGCCCCGGGCCCCCAGCTGACCCCTGAGGCTGAAGAAGAGGAGGAGGACTCCACAGCTGGGGGAGCACCATCCCAGGCAGCCCCAGGCCCCCAGCTGACCCCTGAGGCCGAGGAGGAAGAAGAGGAGGACTCCACAGCTGGGGGAGCACTACCCCAGGCAGCCCCAGGCCCCCAGCTGACCCCTGAGGCTGAAGAGGAAGAAGAGGACTCCACAGCTAGGGGAGCACCACCCCAGGCAGCCCCGGACCCCCAGCTGACCCCTGAGGCTGAGGAAGAAGAGGAGGAAGACTCCACAGCTGGGGGAGCACCATCCCAGGCAGCCCCGGGCCCCCAGCTGACCCCTGAGGCCAAGGAAGAAGAGGAGGACTCCATAGCTGGGGGAGCACCATCCCAGGCAGCCCCGGACCCCCAGCTGACCCCTGAGGCTAAAGAAGAGGAGGAGGAGGAGGACTCCACAGCTGGGGGAGCACCATCCCAGGCAGCCCCAGGCCCCCAGCTGACCCCTGAGGATGAAGAGGAGGAGGACTCCACAGCTGGGGGAGCACCACCCCAGGCAGCCCCAGGCCCCCAGCTGACCCCTGAGGCTGAGAAGGAAGAAGAGGAGGACTCCACAGCTGGGGGAGCACCATCCCAGGCAGCCCCAGGCCCCCAGCTGACCCCTGAGGCTAAAGAAGAGGAGGAAGACTCCACAGCTGGGGGAGCACCATCCCAGGCAGCCCCAGGCACCCAGCTGACCCCTGAGGCTAAGGAGGAAGAAGAGGAGGACTCCACAGCTGGGGGAGCACCATCCCAGGCAGCCCCAGGCCCCCAGCTGACCCCTGAGGCTAAGGAGGAAGAAGAGGAGGACTCCACAGCTGGGGGAGCACCATCCCAGGCAGCCCCGGGCCCCCAGCTGACCCCTGAGGCTAAGGAGGAAGAAGAGGAGGACTCCACAGCTGGGGGAGCACTATCCCAGGCAGCCCTGGGCCCCCAGCTGACCCCTGAGGCTGAAGAGGAGGAGGAGGACTCCACAGCTGGCCGAGCACCTGCTCCCAGGGCACTGTCCCAGCCCTGCCAGGAGAGGGCCGGCGCTGCCTTGGGCCCGGATCCTGGCACTGCAGAAGGCCCTCCCTCTCTGCAGGATGAAGCCGGCCACACCTCGTGCCCAGACCCTCCACAGAACACAACAGCAGCAGGACCAGACCTCCCTTCAGGCCCAGGGCCTGTGGCTGCAGCTCCGCCCGTGCCCCCACAGGCCCTCCTGCCCGACTGTCCCACGGCAGGCTGCCCAGCAGGTCCAGAAGCTGTGGCTGCCAGCGGCCTGCAGGCCGCAGGGACCAAGGACACAGAGCCTATGACTTCCCAGAACCAAGCTGTGGCCTTAAGGGCAAGGCCAGCTCTGGAGAACAAGTCCACAGCGCCCCCTGCAGGCCCAGCGCTGCCAGTCGCGGCCCAGGCCCAGCAGGATGACCCGGAGCTAGCCGCAGAGGCCGAAGACGCGAGTCCCACCTCCGGCATGGAGGCCCCCGGCCCCCCTGGGCCTGCCTTTGACATCGGGGGGGCAGCAGCTGCACCTGAGCGGGAGGAGAGTTCCGGAGCCCACGTGCACACGAGTGACGAGGCTGAGAAGCGGAGGCGTGGAGGCCCCAAGCCACTGGCACAGGGACATGGTGGACCCAGGTCAGCACCCCCAGGTGCAGGGGAGACTCCCGGGGTCAGCCAGGGGCAGCCCCCGAGCCCAGCCAGGGAGGGAAAGCGTCCGAGTGGCAAGTCCACCTCGAGGCCCAAGCTTCCCGCCGCCAAGCTGGCAGAGGCTGGGCTGGGCTCCTGCTCCAAGGCCCCAGCAAGGGCTGCTTCCAGGCTGGGCAGGGGCTGCCCCGAAGAGCCTGCCCCGGCTACACCCTGCCGCCAGCCAGAGCCCGTGCTGGGCCTGGGCCGTTCCCAGGTGGTCCCCAGCGTCCTCAGCCCCACCCCACCTCAGCCTCCAGAAGACCCTGCCCGGGCCCTGCCCACTGCACCCCAGCACAGGCACCCGGGCTCCCTCGGCCCCTGCCTGTGCCAGCACCCCCAAGACTCCCTGGACGACGAGGAACCTCCAGACTCTCCGGCTCCCCCGACGTCCAGGGCAAGAGCCCAGCGGGCCACTGCTGCCGTCTCAGGAACCCCGCGGCTGCCAGGGCCCAGGCAGCAGGCGGGCCTCGCCGCCCGCTCCCCGCTCCCGAGCCCCGAGGCAGCCCCCACCGATGCCAAAGACGTGGCCTCGGGGCCTCTGCCCCCCCGCCAAGTGCCTCCTCCACCCGGGCCCAGCAGCCTGGCGGACGCCCCAGGGGCCCCGGCCCCCGAGCCGCAAGAGGACGAGGACAGCCCTGAGGAAGGTGAGGGGCCGAGGGTGGGCAGTTCTGGGTGAGGGAGCCCCGCCCGCTGCAGCACGGGCCAGGCCTCTCCCTCATGCCTCCCCCCTCCCCCAGACTCACCGCGGGCCCCAGGCTCGGGCCAGCACTCAGACAGTCACGGGGAGTCGTCGGCCGAGCCGGATGAGCAGGACGTCTCGGCACCTCAGCCGGCGCAGTGCCCGGCCCAGGTGCCTGGTCCCAGGGGGAGGGCGGGGCCTCTGGTGGGGGAGGGCGGGGTCACACCGCACCCAGGGACGCTCAGCCCCTGGCCTTTCTCGTCCAGGCCCCGGCCAGCAGCAGCGAGGACACCATCGCCAAAGCCAAGCAGAGTCGCAGTGAGAAGAAGGCCCGAAAGGTGGGCTTGGGGGCACCCGGGTAGGGGCGTCCTCCCCACGGCTAACGAGATCCCAGCCGCAGCAGGGCCTTTCGGCCATGCCAGTGGCCCACACGCCTTCCCCGGGCCTCTGCCCCCCTCGCGGCCCCGGGCCAGCACCAGGCCTGAGCCCCGTCTGCCCGCTGCCCGCAGGCGATGTCCAAGCTGGGCTTGCGGCAGATTCAGGGCGTCACCAGGATCACCATCCAGAAGTCCAAGAACATCCTCTTCGTCATCGCCAAGCCCGACGTGTTCAAGAGCCCAGCCTCTGACACCTACGTGGTCTTCGGGGAGGCCAAGGTCCCCCCGGCTGGGGCTGTGTCTGGGGTGGGGGTGGGGCCGGAGCATGGGGAAGCAGGGCTCGGCTCACCCAGCCATCGTGTGCTGCAGATCGAGGACCTGTCCCAGCAAGTGCACAAAGCCGCGGCCGAGAAGTTCAAGGTACCCTCGGAGCCCTCGGCCCTGGTGCCCGAGTCACTGCCCGGGCCCCGGGTGAGGCCTGAATGTGAAGAGGAGGAAGAGGAGGAGGAGGAGGAGGAGGAGGTGAGGCCGAGGCTCTGGGACCCCGGCTCCGGGGTGGGCTCCACCCAGGGACGCCAGGCAGCGGCCGATACCACCTTGTCCCCCCACAGGTGGACGAGGCCGGGCTGGAGCTGCGTGACATTGAGCTGGTGATGGCGCAGGCCAACGTGTCCAGGGCCAAGGCTGTGCGGGCCCTGAGGGACAACCACAGTGACATCGTGAATGCCATCATGGTGAGTGAGGCTGCCCAGTCCCTGCCCCTCGCCGTCCATGGGCCAGGCAGGGCCCCTCCCCCACACGACCCCCCTGTGCCACTGTTCTGCAGGAACTGACCATGTAGCTGCTGACCAGACGCGGGACCACCGTGCACCTCCCTCCATTGCTGCTCAATAAACCAGTGCCCCTCACACGCTCTGCGCCGTCCTCACCAGCTCCGGGGCCCCTCCGCGCGCTCCGCTCCTGCTGCGGGCACTGCCCAACCCACGGCCTCGGGTGCACACAGAAGGCCCGGGCGAGGCCACGCTGGGTCTATGTGGGGAGGGGGACAGGGCTGGGCACAGGCTGGGCGCCCCAGGCCAGATCTCTGGGTCGACCAGGGGTGGGGGCTCCAGCCCGTAGGCAGTAGGCGGCCTGCCTGGCCTGGCCCTGCCAAGGCAGCTAGAGATGGGACTGGAAATTCAACCTGCAGCAGGCTGGTTTGTACGGGGACTGTGTGTGGCCCACGAACGATGTTACATCCAAACGGCCCCTGGCAGGAGAAAGGTTCCCCAGCCCCTGTACATCCAGGCAACCACACAAGGGCTCTCTCTGGCCTCACCTGATGTCCCGTGACCACCTCTGGCCCAACCCAAGTCAGAGGAAACCCTCCCCGTGAAACCACCCGGGCCCTTCCTGTCCCGCATGAAGTGTGACATCACACGGACCTGGCCACGCTGCCCGGGAGGGCGCCCGCACATACCTGGGGGCCACAGAGCCATGGGGGTGCTCCCAGCAGGGCAAGGGGAGCCCACGCGCCTGTGCAACCACTGCCCAGCAGGCCACGGGCTCAGCCTGGGAGCTTCCTGGTTCTCCAGAGGGCAAGGCCACTCAGGTGGAGGAGGTCCCAGCACATCCTGACCCCAGGTCACCTCCCCTCCTGCGAGGCCCGGAGACACAGGGCGGGACAGCAGGGGGCGTGGGCCGCGGCAGCCCTGCTGAAGACCCTGGACCTGGGCTCCCAGATGGAGACGGACGGGCTCAGGCAAGGAGCCGTAGGCAGGCAGTGTCCTTGGGGGACGCAGTACACGGGCCCCTGGGCTCACACCCCGCACACGGCCCCTGCCCCACGTCCACAAAGCCCAGGCCCAAACCAAGACTTCCTGCAGCCTACGAGCGATGTGCACAGTGCTGGGCCCTGCAGCGCAGGTGTGGCCCCAGGGACGGAGACCAGAGAGGACGAGGCACCCAGGGCTTTCACCCAGCCGGAGCAGAAACACGCGGGGCACGAGAGATTAAATTATTCACATTGCAGTAAACTTCTCTTTACGTCTCTGGGAGTTGCAATAGAACACCGTGTGCAAAACAGAGCCGTGCGGCCCGCGAGCAGGGCCGTGTGCGGGCGAGGCTGCGCCCTGCAGGCCCGGGAGGGGCGCGCCCGCCCGCGGCAGCTCTGTGCTCCTTCACAGTAGAGGGCTCGGCCGCCCGGAGCCTCCGGCCCCCGGCCAGCGGGCAGGGCTGCGCCGCGCCCCGTCAGGCCGAGTCCTGGTCCATGCTGCAGCCCAGCGCCTCGATGTCGCTGCTGATGTCCGAGATCATGCGGTCCCACTCGTCGCCCTCCGAGGGCGCCGACCGGTCGTCAGGGCTGCCCGCGGCCCTGTTCCCGTCGGTGGTGGAGGTGGAGGCGGTGCTCAGGGCCCGCCGGTGCCTGCCGAAGCTGTCGGTGATGATGCCACGGCCGTCCTTGACGCCGATGGTCTCCAGGAAGTTCTCGAAGTGCTGGCTGTCCTTCTCGGGGATGAAGGGCCTCAGACCTGCGGCAACACCACAGCGGCACGGCCTTCCCGCGGGGCTCGCCCGCAGGCCTGCAGCTGCCCCGGGAGCAGCCGCCCCGCCCGCAGCCACCCGAGGGCCCGTCCCCCTGCCACCCTGGCCTGCGGACGTGCAGGGCCAGGAGCCCGTGCCCGCCCCTCCCCGGCAGTCCTGCCTCAGAGCCCACAGGTCACAGGTCAGAAAGCGGAGGCCTGCAGCAGTTCTGAAACCGTTTGCTGGATCCCAGTCACAGAGCCAGGCCTCAGCAAGGCCAGTGGCCAGCCCAGGGCGACTGTCCCAGCGAGGAAGGCTACCCCTGTGCTGAGGGTCAGAACCTCTGCTCCCTCTATGGGTGCGGAGGCCCCCGGGAAGACTGTGTGCTGCCTACACAGAGCCCGGGTACAGACAGGCCCCCTGGACCCAAGCTGCCAGCACCACCGTGTGCAAGGGCCCCGTGGGCTTCCCGAGGAGGGACGAGACCTCCCCGGGCCACAGTCAGAGCGGGTGGGGCCTTGCCCACCTGGCCCCAGGCTCTGGGCAGCGAGCCCCACAGCTCAGCCCCTCCCCATCTGAGAGCAAGACAGGAAGGCACTGGGTGCAGACCCCAGTACGTGGAGGCGTGTTCTGGCCGGGGACTGTTCTGGGGAGGCCACGGGGGAGCAAGAGCCAGTGCCGTGCCACCACTTCGGGTCTGCAGGGGGCACAGGCCCAGGGAGGGGGAACCTGCAGCTGTGTCGCAGTCCCCGCCAGGCGTGGGTCAGACACGGTGGGCAGAGCCCAGCTGCCGCCCAGCCCACAGCCACCCTGCCCAGTGTGCGAGCTCTGCAGGGGCCCAGGCTGGTGCTCCCACCCGGGCTGGTGCTCCCTCCCACCTGGGCCCCGCCCCCTCCAGGAGCAGCCCCAGCTCTCCAGCACACTCTTCCCCAGACCGCCGAGTCTGGGTGCTCCCAGCCCCGGCTCGGCTCAGGGCTGCGGGGGCCTGGGGACCCGGGCGCGGCTCACCGAGCAGCAGGAACTTGCGGCTGTCCCCGTAGAGCTGCCGCAGGCTGATGCAGAACTCGTGGACGGAGGCCCCGTGGCGGTACTCGTGCAGCAGCGCGGCGAACTGCTGGATCTCCTGGGACGACAGCTTGGTGCGCAGCTGCGAGGGCAGAGTGGAGCCTTGGCGGGCTGCTGCAGGGGCACGGCAGGCCCAGCGGGGCGCCCCGGGGAGCCGGCAGAGGGCACCCGAGGACGGCCGCCTGGGGCCCCGGCTGGGGGCGCTCCAGTGAGCACACAGCCCGGGCGGGGAGGGGACGGGGTGTGCAGCGCAGCGGGACCCACTCACCGTCAGCATGTAGTCCTGCAGCAGCTCGGCAGCGCTGGTGCTCAGCTCGCTCTCGCTGGCCGTCTTGCCGTGCGGCAGGGCCGGCGCGCAGAAGGACAAGGGCGGCAGGCCGCCGGCGTCCGCAGAGTCCAGGAAGCAGCTGCAAGGAACGGACGCCTGAGCAGGTGGCTTCCCAACCCTCACGGCCCACACCGGGGGCCTGGCTGGCCCCTGTCCTTGAGGGAGCAATGTGGGTGTTTGCCAGTGACAGAGGTGACACCAGGGGAGGCCTGGCCGGGCCTGAGGGTCCCCATGGGGATCTGAGTCGGGGACGGGCCCAGGAGCCGACACAGGGTGCGTGCAGTGCGGTGAGTCTGGGGGCCCGGGCTAAGCGGGGTGGAGCCCAGGAAGGCCGGTGGTGTGTCTGCTGCAGGTGCAGCTCGGGGCTGGGACGCGTGTACTCACAAGGGGCTGGTCTCCGCCTCGTAGGGCTCCTTCATGTCCACTTTGGTGGAAGAGTCATCTGTACAAGACGCAGAAAACAGACAGCCCTCAGGCACGGGCGGCGCTGCCAGTCCGCTCACACGCAGCCGTCAGCCCGGGCCTGGCCTGGCCTCTGGGGACCTGGAACGTGCGTGTGCCCAGGGTGGGGCTCCTGGACCTGAGTCCACACTCAGCCACAGAGGCCGCCCTCAGCCAAGGGTATCGACAGGTGTCTCTGGGGCGCGGGGCCTCAGGGCCTGGCCCTCTAACCCAGGCCCGTGTGGTCCAGGTCTCCCTTGCAGAGGAGAACTGAATCGAGAGGTTATGCATCCGGGCCCGGGTCACACAGCAGAAGTCCGAGCCAGACAAGCGGACCCCAGCCTGGACACGGCCAAGACCTTGGGGTCCCGGAGAGCCGTGGAGCAGCCGCACGGCTGCCGCTCAGCTGAGTGACAGGCGACTGTCTGAACCCGAGGGAGGGGCCGCGGCGACGCTCAGACAGGAAGCAGGGCGGGACTTCACGAGAGGCAGGTAGGCCCGGGGAAAGGAGGGAGAGGCTGTGAGTAGGAGCAGAGGTGAGAGGTGGGTGGGGGTCTGAACAGCAGCGCCGAGGAGACCCTGTCCCTGACCCCGGGGCTGTGACCTTACACGGCGCGGGCAACCTAGGATAGCCACATGTGACCGCGAGGGTTCCTAACGGGGAGGGAGGGTCAGAGGCAGGAGCGGCTGCAGTGGGCAGGGTGGAGGGGCCGTGGGCCAAGACCCGCAGAAGCCTCTGGACGCTGGACGGACAGGAAAGGGCCGGCCCTGGAGCTGTGGAGGCGGCAGCCCGTGACACCAGGGAGGCCCGTGCTGGGTCCCAACCCGAGAACCCCAGAACCGGTGTGCCGCTGCTCCTGCTCAGCTCTGGGGGCAACGGGAGGAGATGCGTGCCCGCGGGTGCATGTGCGTGTGTGCACGCAGGCACGTGTGCCGTGGCGCGTGAGCACGTGGGGGCTCGGGAAGGCACAGGGCGGGAAGCCCAACGCTGGGGCCCCATCCGATGCACACAACCGCGTATTCGGCAGTAAAAGCCTCAGTGAATCAAAGCTCCCCTGGGCATTGTACGGCCTGGGGCTAACCCCGTCACAACTGGGCGGGGTGACCAGCAGGTCCGCTCACCAGCCCGCTGACCACGTGCAGGGCTGCCCTGGACCAGCAGTGGCCTCAGCCTCAACGTCCCCAGCCCTAAGAATGGGACAAAGGTTGTACCTGTGTGACCGGGGCACCAAGGACTGGCTGAGACAGCACAAGGCAGGCAGCAAGGGAAGCCCCCAGGGCTCCCAGGGGGGGCAGGAACCGAGGGCAGCACGTGCAGCGGGGCACACGCTGCTCCCTGGCCCTGCCCTGGGCTGTGCCCGTGTGCAAAGGGCTCCGTGCCATCTGCCGTCCTGGCTGGTAGGGGATGCAGGCTGGGCTGGCGTCCACGCACACAAGCAGCTGTAGGCCACCAACTGCTCTGTTTATGTAGACGCCACTCATCCGCAGCACACTTCTAGCGACAGCGCCCTGTCCTGTGAGACAGCTCGGGCCAGCTCAGCGCGCAGCACGGGTTCTGTCCACCCTGCTCCGGC